TATTCTTTCTAATAGATTTTTGGAGAAAATGCTGATAAAAAGTGGTATTACTTAATGAAAGATGTAACAACTTGAACAGAATCGAAACTCACTAAGATGTGCACAAACATAACTGGGAAAGTAGTGAGAGAATTCGGATAAAAGATCTTTTGGAGCCAGCTAGATTTATATTCAGGATGCTTGAATGAAATACTGCAGGCCCAAAACAGCTAGACTAGAAGTCAGAGCCTAAACATGTTGTCTCAATTCGCAATATTTATAAGAAAATACAATACCGATTTGCAAAAGAAAGAAGCCTACAGTAAGACCATGCTTGTGCCTACTTAGTCAGCCATTCATGTAACGAGTAAAGTCGGAGACAGGGGTGCCATTTTCAGGAAGGGAGCTACCATGTAGAGCCGAATAGGTTGTCATATTCAATGTAAATGAGTTAGTGAAGGACTAATCAAAGTGATTTGATGATTTATGAAGTAAGCTAAGAGTATTTGTGATACAGACGAAGCAATGCTTCTTGAAAGAGCACCACGCCAAAACCCATTCGACTGGAAGACTAAAATGAATATTGATGGAGAGAATATAAGTAGCAATGTGCACTTAAAGTGAACTCTCCAAACTGATAGAACTCAAGAAATGCTCAAGTTAGAGAAGGATTTTAAAGTTACTTCCGAATGATATTTATCATGGCCAATCCGTGCTGAACGAGGATAAGTATATTCGAACAAAACGATTTTTCAAAGAGAATATAAACGTTTAAAGCTGAAGCCTATGGCAGAACATTTCCCTTATTAAACAACAAAATGATATTCAAGTAAATGTTATATATATATATATATAGTGCAGTAGGATTACAAGAACCTTTGGTAACAATTTTCCTAATCGGAGACCGCATAAATTTTATACCGTTTTAGACGTACAATTGGAATCTGCGCGACTAATACAGGTTTCTTATTTGTTCTGAAACCTGTTCAACTTTTAGCCATATAAGCACTGGAAAATGGTGAGAAACTTCATAAATTAATACAGGTAAAATAGAGTTGGAAATGAGGTGGAAATAAAGGAGGCTGTTGGAGTGAATCGATTGACTGACTGTCCGAACTAAAGAGGCTGTGGAAAGAGTGCCACTAAATAAAAAATCTCACGAACACTGCCTCCCACTTCACAAAATTTAGCTACAAATCAAGGGAAAGGTGGAAAAGAAGAGATAAAATTGGTGTAATTAAGTTCACATAAAATCTGTTTTTTACTGTTTATTTACATATAAGGCTAAGACAGACTGCTTACCAGGAACTTTTCACTTCCGTAAATTGAGGATCTGGTGTGGTCGAGTGATTTTTCGAAGCAGCATGAACTAAACGAAGGAAGAATTAAAATGCTTATCAATTAGGATTTTTAAAGCTAAATATTTGGCAGATGTAGGGTACTGTAAAATGTACTAAAACAAACCATATGGCAAATAATATAATAATAAAGAAGAGCATAACCTCATATTCTTCGATATGCAGCATAGCATAGTGAAGCATTAAATGAAATGGCTGATATAAATCGGTACATGCAAGTCTCGAAAACTCCTGCCAACTAGACCAGCAGCTCACCTCGATCAAGGTCTTCTCTGGCCGCGCCCTCCATTTGTCCGTTGGTTAGCTTAGCGATCGTTTGTATCACCGAAGAGTGCTCTGGATCCATGTGAGTTGGACTAGGAGAAGGTAAATATGAAGTAGCTGGTAGAGATAAGAGAAGATTCGGAGGTGAATTGGAGAACTGGTTCGAAAGTGAAGTCTTCGAAAGAAAATCCTCCGTGTCGACGGAGTCATGGGAATGGTGAATACCACTGCCGACCGAATCACCATCGGAGATAGGCGAATTTCGATAGGCGCCCGAGGTGGAAGACAGTTCCACACGCTGTCGTTTGTACTTCTCACGGGCGTGAGAGATTCGCTTTGGCTGTGGCGAGTGGAGACCACTAGTCGAAGACAGGTTCGCATCTGCAAAGGTTTTCGAATCGACGGCAACATCGGCTATTTGGGGGCCAAGAGCAATAGAGTTAACTAAACGATTTGGCTCGGAGGGTGCATGAAAAGGGATGTCATCTTTAAGTCTCGCCGAGGAGAAGGTAGTCGTGGGGGCGATAGTGACGGCGATTGGGGCAGAGGTAGTTGAATAAGTAGCGAATGGGTGGTTTGATGATGCTAGGAGAGAAGAGGAGCCAAAAGAGGTGCCATAATTTTTGCTAGTATTTTGTTTAGTGCCTGACAAAACATCTGAGATACAGGACAGTGTTGGCTCAGAAGA